GTCCCCGCTTGCTCTCTCGCCTTCGCTCTCTCCTTGCTCGGTGCCCTTGGCACTGGTGAAAAGCATCCTTCTCGCCTTGCTCACATGCAAAGCGTTCAGGGGCTGAGCTGGGGCAAGTTTGGAAATTGCAGCCTGGGAAGACTCTGGGTGAGAAGTACATGAAAGGGGGTTGTGGCAATTGCTGTTGGATGGAGTTTCTGCAATGTCCTCAGGCTCAGAGAGCTGGAAGTGTGAGAAAAGCAGAGGGAAATATTTATTTGGCATTTGAGGGTAGGCTGAAGGTCATTTTCTGGATGTGTTTGTGAGCAGATCCGTGTATCGGGGGGTTTGGGGGTCCAGCGCTGGGGAAACCTCCTGCAAACCCAGGGCAAGTCTCACCCTGGCTCTAACTCCTCCTGTCCCTCGGTGCCATAGCTTGTGGAGTTTGCCTGGGAGAACTGCGGTGACGAGACGGACCCCGTGGTGGTGAAGAGCCTCACCGTGGCACCTGACCCCATCACCATCCCGGGGACTCTGACCCTCAGTGGGACCGTCAGTTGTGGCGAGACCATCTCCTCCCCTCTGAAGGTACGTGCTGGAGCCACCGCCGTGGGACAGGGGAGGGCAGAGCTTCCCAGATCCCCCAGCAGCTGGGAAATGCCCGGCAGTGGACACGGGAATGAGCAGCCCTTGGGGGAACGAGGCACGGAGCAGTGCAGGGCTGAGCGCACCGGGCTCTGTACGCCAAGACGGGGCGACGGGCGCAGGGAGACCTGCGGTGGGAGCAGACAGCCCAGTGGGAAGCTCCCAAACTTGTCCAGTGCCAGAAACCACCTGAGCTGTGTCGTGTCCTGGGGACGCAATGACTCAGGGAGGGAAATGAAACCCCAAATGCCCTGGGTGCTCCCGGCAGTTGCTGCAGCACTTGTTTTTCAGTGGCCAGCCCCGGCGGCTGGCTCCAGGGACGTGCCAGGGCACCGCTGCGGGAGCCCCGAGCTGGCCTGGCTGCCCTGCACCAATTTCTGTTGACTTTTTGGGATGAGACCAAACATGTCTGTCTGCCCAAGGTGTATGGGCTGTCTTGAGCAACAGCACGGTGCCTGTCTGGGGCTGCGGGGAACGTGCTGGGGGAGCGTGGAGGCAGAGCTGCGGGACGGGAGCTGCTGGGTGGTTTTGGGATGGGGCAGCGAGGAGAGGGGAAGGAGCAGGGTGCGTGGGGTGCTGGGGGGTGTTTGCTCAAGGGGTCAAGCTGAGGGTTGAGGAAGGGAAACCTGCAGGCAGAGAGGAACTGAAAGCAGGAGGGGAGGGGGGAGGGCGTGCAGGGGCCCCATGGACACCCCAAAAAATTGCACAAGCCGGAGCTGAGGGAGACGGCTTGGGAGAAGAGGGGTTGGGACAGGCTGGGGGGGCCGGGGGGGGGGCTGGCGGC